CACCAGCCCCTGGAGGTGTAATGGATCGTAAATTTTTGAGTCGACCAGACGTCAAGGAAAAGAACGCGAGAGATACAGTGGTTCCCTGACCTGGTCTGCATCAAGCCGACTGAATTTGTATTGTATATACACAGTTGAAACTGAGGGTGATGTTTTAGGGAGTCGGAAAAAAATTCTAGAGACGCGTGTAGGCGAATCCTAAATAAACAAGTAATTTAAAAATAATTTATGTTGAATTTCACATCAATCATGATGGGCAGGATCACGATAAATTTGTTGTTTCAACTAGGATTGACTATAAATTGCTGCACAATTCTTTGCCATTTGAGATTTATGATTATGCTAGGAGCTCGCTCTGCTCACCAACCTCCATATGACCCACATAAGACCCCCGTATGATCCCCATATGATCGTCATGATCCTTATTCTGACCCTCGTGACCCGTATATCAACCCTCATGACCCTTATTTTAATTCTTGTGACCCTTAATTTCTGACTCCCATTTCCGTAAATCTGACACTTGTAATCCTTAATCTAACCCATGTGACCCGTATTGGGATCCTTGATCTGACCCTCATTATAACCCTTAATCTGAATCCTTTTGACCCTTATTTTGACCCTTGTGACCCGTAATTTGGAATCTTGATTTTGAGTACCGAAGTTTCATCACCAGTAGTATTAGGATTTTTATAATATTAGGATTTTTATAACATCTAACCCTTGTGATCCTTATTCTGGCCCCCATGACCCTTATTTTGACCCTTGTGAACCTTAATTTGGAGTCTTAATTTCGAGTACCAAAGTTTCATCACCAGAAGTCGATTTACAGTTTTATAATTAGAGAGATATTACTTTTTATCTGTGAATAGTGTCAACCCTTTTCCACATGATTGGTATGAACAAGGATTCATCCTCTGATAAAAAATAGGTGAGACATTTTTATTTTTGTTTTAGCTTGAGAAATTTATTTCTCACGATCTTTTCTTATTTTTTAAATTTTCTTTTAGTATTTCAAAAATTATTTTTTTAATTTAAGAAGTAAATAAGTAAATAAAATAAAACAATAATAAAGAAAAATGTTTTGGTGGGAATTTTTTTTTTTCAACAAGTAAATTGATTCAACACGACAAAAGATCTTTTCAGGAGAATATATGATGTTTCGGCAGAATTCATTTTTTCTCTCACCAAACATTTTATTCTTCAATAAATTAGAATGTCATCACTTCCCTATTACATTTTACGAAATTAATTATTTCAAACAATTCAATTTGTTTCTTTGACCCTAAATATTACAATCCCTTTGCGTTACAAATGATAAAACCGCATTAACCCCCCATTTCCCCGTTCACAATATCCAAAAGCATCCAATAATTCTCTGCCATCGGTATCTAAAAACCGCTAAAAACTCCAATCAAAGTACTTCAGAAAATTGGCAAAAGCATCTGAAACCGCAGTGCCATTAACCGAATGCAGAGAGAGCGGAAATGAAGGTGACACAGCGCACGAAATTGAACGTCAGTCGAGTGACGAGTGACGGAGGGAGAAACGAGGATATACCCTCGGGGTACAAATGCGACATAACAAGGAGAGAAAGCGATAAATTGAAGTGAGATAGTTTCGTAAAGCGTTGAGCAGAAGCGGTGGGATGTGGCAGAGAGGGGCACGGAGAGGAGAAGCCAACCCACTAATTCGAGTGTTCAGGTGTTGAGCCGTTGGTTGTGTGCAATTGCAAGCCAGCGAGCCGGACATTTTTCGCGGGCCACTGATCCGAGAGCGAATTATTCCTAACCGTGAAAGTCATTCAGGGGGAATGTGACGTTGCTCAATGTTTCGCGCGCATTTGATCAACTATTTTGTCAACTCGCGTGTGCATCAATCCTATCGTGCACAGGAATGACTTTTGTTTCCTATTATTTTTTCATATTTTCATCTCCAGGGAGACTGTGTGTGACGTTTATACGTGATTAAGTTGCAATAGAATCGCGAATGAATACCTTGTTCATTTTATTGTCGAGTTAATTGAACTGTCAATCTGTGGGACTGCTATCATAGCTTTCAATGTATGAGTATTGATAAATGTAAGAAAAATATTTCAAACTTTCATTAGCTTCTTATTTCGTCGGTTCCCATCGATGCAAAACGCTTTTGATTTTCTTTTCGCAGCGATAAATCCATGAAACCATCAATGTTTCTACTAATTTATTCCCTGAGAGAATTGATAAAAAATTATGAATACATTATTAAACATTTTCGTCTGAATTTTCCGTGCCGAATGTCGAAAATTTTTATCGTGTTAAAGTTCCACTGATATTTCAGGAAATCTTGTCGTTAAAAATCAAATATTCCGTTGATTTTCTGTTCTAATGATCTGGAAATCAATAAAATACTTGATTTTTGAGTTCAATTCTTCTGTGAAAATTCAGAAAAATCAGGAAGATTCCAGATAGCGGCATAATCATAATTTTGAATTAAAGTTAAATTTTGGATAAGTCAATTATTAATATTACTCACCAATTTTTTGATTATTAAAATAACCATCAATTTAAGTATTCAAATTCCGAATTATGTTCTCAACCAAGAATTGAGAAATTAAATTATCAGGTATATTATTTTTCAAATTTCAGTGGAGATAAGTAAATCTTAATTACTGTAAGGCGCAACTTCTCATAATATTACTAAAGTAATAATTGATTCCAATCTATGGAAAATTCAGAAAAGAATTGAAAATTTATGTCATTTTGTTTCTGAATATTCATGTTCCACCGAAAATTCAATCAAGTTGTGAAATTTCCATCTTACTCCCACTAAAAAGTCATGAATTCTCGTGAATACTACTTAAAACTCGAATTTTCATACCCATTTTTTCCTCAAATCTGAATCAATGTCACATGAGATTTACTATAATATCTTTCATGAAATTTCAAAAAATGTCCAACAGTATAGCACCAATTATTCATAATGAATGCCATATCTTTGTTAGTTCGATAATCGAGGATTAACAAGCGAGATTTATATGAAAAAATGTTCATAACAAACATTTCAGTAGCCAAGTGGTAAAAGGGTTAAAGTCGACTCATCTCCCAGTTGAGTTTTTCAGAAATATTCCCGAACCTAAGGGAGATAGCGAAATTTTCGTAATAACATTTGTTGTAGCACTCAATCGGCTCCACAAAAAAGGTTATAGCAAAAATTTTGCTATCTCTCTTAGATTCTGAGATATTCATTGAAAACTGGTCAATCGTCAAAATTGATTTATACCGTTTTACCACTTCGCTACTGATTTATTCAACCCTTCCCCGTTTGATCTTTCCATCGTTTAACCTTTCCTTGATCGACCTTTCCCCGTTTGAGCCCTCATTTGAAGCTTTAGTTACAAGAAGTATTGATTCATTCGCCCAAACAAACGAAAACTGCGATTCAGACGGAGTAAATGTTAAAACGAGAGAAATTCATTTTGGGATTGAAAGGTCGCGGGATTTTATAAATGGGTTTCTCTGAATTCGGGGAAAATTAGCGGTGGATTATTTTTTTTCATGCCGAGATGAGGAATATGTCGAAACGATTTATACTCGTGTTTCGCGGATGTTTTGATTGGATTCGAGGGAGTGAGGAGATTGGCGTAATCTTTCAGGCGAAAAAAACGACGATAAAAGATAGATCGGTCGATAGCGGATTTTTTACGTCATTCAAATTGAATTTAGAAAACAGGATTGAGGTGGAATGATCACATTTCCGATCGCATTTTTTTAACCTACATCTGCGAAAATATAATAAGAGGTCCGAAAAGATTGATCAAGAGACTTCCTGTGAGAATGTTATGACCTAGAAACATAGGTTGATAAACATATGTTGCAAATTCGCAAATAAATCAAAATAGCGATTATTGCTATCGCCTTCATCTTTGAACTCAATTAAAAGGGCATCCTTATTTTTTTATGCCATCATTCAATCAATTCAGAACATTTTCTTTTTAGTTATCGTAGGACAACCGATTTTCGAAAAAGTTCAAAAATTAAAAAAACTAATCGATGAATCAAATTTTAATTAATGGTGATCGAAAGGGCTCAACCGTACATACACTGTTAGAAAATTACTCCTGAACTTTCCAGTAAAAAAATCTTGAAATTTTCAACAATCACCCACTCGTACGAAACTGTCATGTTTTTTTTAATTGAAAAAAATGAGTGGAATTCTGGAGTATTCAATGGAATTGCAATTTTCAGGTCTACATGATAATGGAAATTATTAAATAATTCGAAAATTCAAGCAACAATTTCCCAGAATTTTTAAATTCACTGAAAATTCAGTTGGATGTGATATTCAATTTCCGTAATGAATTTGAAAATTCTAGATTTCAGTGAAATACCAATGATAATCTAACCTGGTAAACCCAATTATCCTGAATCCCAGACTGAATGACAGATTCCATTAACAATTTAATCTTAAATTGAATTCAAATTCACAATATTGAAAATTCAAGGGCAACTATTGTTTAATTTTCAAAAAATTTCTAACAATGTACGTTTGAAGAAAATGTTCAATTCCATAGCGAACAATTGAAGGAAAATTTTATTACATACGTACACACGTACGAACGAGTTTCAAACTTTTTGAATCATACCTCATCAATATATAACCCAAAAAATCAAAAACCCAAATTTGAACGATTACAAAGCTTCCATTCGGCAATAATAATTCTCTGCAAAATGTAAATTGAACGATACTGAATATTTTATTTTTCTTCAAACTTTTCTCACGTAATTTAATCGACAAATTTGATGATGGAAAATTGTTGAATCTATGTCGTCTGTACCAAACTCCAAAATAAACTTGGACATCCTCAAATCAACTCTCTCATAATTAAAATGAGCAACAGGAAAACGTGGAAATGCTTCCGTTACAATGACCCTGACAGCTCCACATCTCACAAATCCACCCACCACCCAACAATTTCCCATTCCCCACCAACAAAAATAAAACACCAAACACCATCAACTTACCCATCAATTTCCTGACTTCCGTCTGACTGAGAAACAGATTGAAGAATCCATGCCCCGGCCTGACAACGATAAACAGAAACGCCAGTCTCAGCAACATCATGCAGCCAGTCAAACCCACGTGTTTCTGTTACCACCAAAGTTCCACCGCGTGTGTTACTGCGCGCGCGGCTTCTTTTTTCAATGCAAAAAGACCGAAACTATAAACCACTTTCCACAGTGTTCCCCCAACGTGTCACTCCAATAATGCGTGGAACGATCTTTCAACTCATTTTAACATTTCGTTGAAGTGTCTTCTCCCGACTTTTTTCAAATCAAACCCTTCAGTCCCCACGATGTTTATATTCTTAACAAGTGAATAAAAGCCGTATTGTTACCCACAAATTCAAATATTCCCGCACACGAGTTTATTCACAGACGCTCAGAGCGACGTAGCGAGTATACTTCACTCACTGGTGTATATTTTTTTGTTTGACAGTTGATTTTCAATGCTTCCACGTGCAAATATCCATCGTCCACGTGGCAAAATATACAAACTAAATGCACCAAATAACGTTCAACAGGTTGTACTTGTAAAATTGTACTGTTGAGTCGCTGAATTTTCACTTATTCATCACGAATAAAATGACGACAGCGTACAACGTGTGAATAAGGGAGCGTTGTTGCCTCGTGAAAGCCACAACCAGTTCTGCTACAGCCGCCATGGGTCGACCAGGGTCGACGCAGGCCTGCGTATAAACCGAGCACAACCGAGCTAACCCGAGCGTCAGCGAGCCCACGAGAGAGATGAACGATTCGCCCTGTGGATGAACTGAGAACTACTGACGCGCGGTTTTCTCGTCTTTTTGCTTTTCGTTTATTATTTTTTCTTTCTCGTCGCTGCAGTTTCCCTCCGTCGGGGGAAGAGAATGACGCGAGAGGCAATTTCTGTTTGTGATCAATGGTTTTATGGATGGAATTGTCGGTTTTCGGAGGGAAAATTCGCTCGTTAGGAAGCGCCAATTTTCACGATGGGCTGGGTTTTTTACTCGTTTTCGCGGGAGTAAGTTGATAACAATAGGGGCGGTTTTAGATTGAGTCTTTTGTCATTGGGATTGCGGATTTTTTTCAGGTGTAGCGGAGTGGAATTTCTGGGTTTATGGGGGCGAATGCAGAATGGAGATCTTTGGTTGCACTTGACGGTGGATGAGGATTTAATTTGTTGGGTAATTGGGGAATTCTGTCGTTATCAGATATACAAAATTACCGTCATTTTTGAGACCGCGTCATATGACCAAAAATTTCGGTCATATGGAGCACAAATTTTCTAACTACGAATGAAAGTCACAAATAATTTGCAAACAAACTGTCGTCTTAACATCTGCATAGATGCATATTGACGATCATAATTAATTTCTAATTCGTGACGGTCATAATAAAAAAATAATTTTATCTAGAGAAATGAAAAATTACCGTGATCTTCGTTGCAAAATGCACCTTAGGCTAATACGAAATGAGTTCAAATAAAAATTGATAAAGAACGGCCAGCGTGATATGGCCATTGGCTGAAAATTGTCGAAAAATATTCGAAGCATATTTCGAAAGTTTATAGGCTACATCAACCGCAGAGATGCAGAACCTATGGAAAATGATAGAATTTTCATAGAATGAATTAATTGCCTATTCGTAGTATGAAAAAATGAATTTAAAAAAAACCATTGATCGACTTTTTCCACTGTCAAGAATAATGGTCTGATCAATAACGGAGGAGGGACCATTAACTACTTGCGAAAGTAACGAAAATTCGGGGAATTAAGTAGTTCATCACTTGTGTTGTTGATAATTCTCAATAAAAAAAAAAGGGCCAACGGCACGTGGTGTTCCCAAGCGGTCACCCATCCAAGTACTAACCACGCTCAACGCTGCTTAGCTTTAGTGATCGGACGAGAACTAGCGGTTTCAGCGTGATATGGCCGTTGGCTGAAAATTGTAGAAAAACGTTCGGACCATATTATGGAAGATTGTATGCTGTATCAACAATAGAAATTGAAAACCTGTTGGAAATTGTAGAAATTGCATGGAATTGATTAATAGACTTCTTGCAGTCCAAAAAATTAAAAACATTTAACTATTTGTGAAAGGGATGAAAATACGACGTATCATGATTGACTCATCCAAAAATCATTGATCGACTTTTTCCACTGTCAAGAATAATGGTCTGATCAATAACGGAGGAGGGACCATTAACGACTTGCGAAAGTAACGAAAATTCGGGGAATTAAGTAGTTCATCACTTGTGTTGTTGATAATTCTCAATAAAAAAAAGGGCCAACGGCACGTGGTGTTCCCAAGCGGTCACCCATCCAAGTACTAACCACGCTCAACGCTGCTTAGCTTTAGTGATCGGACGAGAACTAGCGGTTTCAGCGTGATATGGCCGTTGGCTGAAAATTGTTGAAAAACTTTCGGACCATATTATGGAAGATTGTATGCTGTATCAACAATAGAAATTGAAAACCTGTTGGAAATTGCATGGAATGGATTAATAGACTTCTTGCAGTCCAAAAAATTAAAAACATTCAACTATTTATGAAAGGGATGAAAATACGACGTATCATCATTGACTCATCCAAAAACCATTGATCGACTTTTTCCACTGTCAAGAATAATGGTCTGATCAATAACGGAGGAGGGACCATTAACGACTTGCGAAAGTAACGAAAATTCGGGGAATTAAGTAGTTCATCACTTGTGTTGTTGATAATTCTCAATAAAAAAAAGGGCCAACGGCACGTGGTGTTCCCAAGCGGTCACCCATCCAAGTACTAACCACGCTCAACGCTGCTTAGCTTTAGTGATCGGACGAGAACTAGCGGTTTCAGCGTGATATGGCCGTTGGCTGAAAATTGTAGAAAAACGTTCGGACCATATTATGGAAGTTTGTATGCTGTATCAACAATAGAGATAGAAAATGTATGGGAAGTGGTAGAAAGTTTATGGAATTGATTAATCGTCATCAGTACAGTAAAGAAAAGAATAGAAGGAAAGCGCCAATGGCGTGTCTCCGAACTGCTTCAACGTCAATTGAGATCGGAAAAACCATCTTCTCAACTTGTCCGAATTTGTAGGAATATCAAAATCTGAACACGGAGGATTTAGAAGTTCAGTAAACAAAAATTGATTAATACAATTGAGCAATTTATTCACTCTTGAAAATGATTACATTTCATTGGTCATGAATCTATATTGATTCCAAGAAATTATATAATCCCAAAATTTTTCTATTGAATAACTATTGTCATCATTTATTGTATATGACTATTGTCATTTTTTATCAATTCATGAGTGAAATAACTATTCATCTTGTGTTGCTTCCCGTGAAGATTGGTCCACGCACATTTGGTGGATCCCGTCACTGGCACAATAACAAATTTGGTTTCCAATGATTTTGGGACGTCCGGGTTCACAACCTTGAGGTGGTGTAGGTGATACAGCAATCACGGCTTGTGAGAAACGAAACGGATATTAAGAAATGGCAACATTATTATCCATCCATAATATTATTTTTTCGATGCTTAAAATCGATAGGTACTTGTTCAATTTTCATTCGAAAGGTCCATTACTGTGACATCGACCTGACGGGTTGACGATTATTTTGATATTTAATGGTATTAGATTGAGGCACCATTCTTTACATTGATGGCCGACGGTGGATACACGGAGAGAAATATTCAATAAAAATTACCAGAAAAAAGACGTAAAAATTACGTTTCGAAACGTAATCTGGGAGCGAAGTAAAATTCAATAAAAAGTGTCAATCGTCACGTAAATTCTACGATCTGTTCCGTAAAAATTACTCATCCGTCCGACGCCTCACGGCTAGCCATGAGTTACCGTGAAGGGGAGATTGTAACAACACGTTCCGTAATTTTTCCGGAACTTTTCGTAAAAATTCTTAAACATCCAAGAATTTTCATGTTCTGAGGCATAATAAGTCTTGAAGTTTCTGTTAGATTTTACAACTTCCAGAAAAATTACGTGAATTTTTCGTATTTTTTCGGTGACAGGCCCGAAAATTTACTGAACGTTTCAGATTTATTCTCTTATATTCCTATATGTAGAAATTCACTGAAAACGATTCTCCCTTGCGGATTACGTGAAATGTTCCGTAATTTTTCTTGAATATTTCTCTCCGTGTAGAAAATGAAATAAGGAATACTAATCTATCGCTGAATTTTTATATTCATTTTTATAAACACAGGCCAGGAGAATGATCGAGTTTTCGAAGTTGATGTGAAAAATATTTTCAGATAGAACGGGGCTGAATCCCACTTTCATTTTTACATATTCTCCATAAAAAGGGTCCCTTTCATGAAGAGAACGAAATAGAACGTGGAATTTCCAACGCTATTGATGATTTTAGGACATTTGCAACGGTGTCGGTTAATTAAAACCATATTCAATCGAAAAAACGAAAAAATTTTGTTGGAAATATGTATCAAAAACTTTGAAATGTTATTCTACCTTTTCTCGACTACACGGAGAGAAATATTCAATAAAAATTACGCGTCTTTTCCGTAATTCCGGAGCGAAATGTGGTTGTAAGAAATGTTACGCAACTGTCACGGAATTTTTCCAGAGTGTTTCGTAATTTTTATCTGAATCTCCTCTGGAAAATGACGATATTGTCACTTGAATTTTCTGAATCGATTCCGTAATCGGTGAGTGAATTGTGAGTCCCGTAATTTTTACTGTGCTCTCTGCGCTCGAAATTTCGTCAAAAAAATAAAAAATCTAAGAAATTGCCTTTTCATATATGAAATTTAAAAAAATTGAAAAAAAATTTTCAATGGTGAGAACACCATATCACTAACCTCAAAATAATAAAAAAAATTGAAGATACAAAAGCGGATTGATAATTGGCGAAATCGCTTATAAGATTATTTTTCGTAGCATGAAGATTTCGCAAAAAGACAAAGAATGGAAAACTGGAAAAACGAAATACTAATGTAATGAAGTAATTATCAAAAACTATCTCATTTATAGGTAGTAAATGCATTCCTGAATGATTTTTCTTCATTTCTTTTCCATGAAAATCAAAATATGTTCAAAAATAGAATGACTGTATTTCACACTCACATACCAACAACCAGAACAGCCAAAAAGATCAATTTCACGAACATTGACATAGTATCCTCGAGTTTCTGAGACTTGCCAAAGACTGCGTATAAGAGTACTACAACGGTATTATATATAGTCAAACAAACAATTAACATGTTCGTTATTTTACTGTTCTGTCAATCATACATCTATGCCTCGCCAATAAAGTTTAATATTTATTGTAGTTGATAATGAATAGATAGATAAAACATTGAGGTGAGCTCATATTTTTTCGCATATGGCTCCATTATTCCCCGGTAGGGGAGGATGGGGCAAAACGGCCCCCCTTCAATTGTCAATAACTTGTGAATGACATTGTGAAAATTCCCAGTTTCAACTTCATTTTGAAGATAATTTTTCATTCTTCAAAACGAGCTCTAACTCATCCCAATCGGATTATTGACTCGGAAAATATTGACGATTGAAGGGGGGCCGTTTTGCCCCATCATCCCCTATTCATTTTCCACTTCATTCTACGGCATTTTATCTTATTTACCTTACTTTATTCATCTCATTTATTACATAGTTGATAGATAATTTCAATCACGATTATTTGAATTTGATCTAATGAAGAGATATTCATTAAGAAATTCTGAATGCTGTAAATACAATTATATGGTTCTTTCCAAAAAGTTCCTGCTGATGCTGAAGAATCTATGAAATCCTGTACATATCGCATGTACATGCACTATTATTAAAAAATTGCCAATGGTTCTCCTGCACTCGAGTGGATGTCATCATTTGAACAGGTATCCGTCTCTCCAAATGGACTGCAAATGCATAATCTTCCGGTAGCATCTACATATACACGTCCGGGCTTACATATTTTTGTAATTTCTGGGTCGACTGCTACTCTCGCACTCACAACTAGAAAAAAAAATCAATATGTCCGGTGAAAATTATAACTTTTTTTTATTCTATCGACAGTAGACTGATCCAAGTTTCCCAATCTAAATACATGGTGAGAATATATCATTGTGCGCGGAACTTATGATGAGAAAAACGAATCTTTTTCGCGGAAAATAGAAAATTATAGTCGGTGACAGATATCAAAGCAAACCAGGGACCGAGCCTACTCGACAGAAGAAATTTGACCGTTACGTTCTGAACAATTTATGACTAATAGAATTTTTTTTTAAATTGTACATATTGAAAATGAATTGGTAATGTTTGTTAAAATTCGATTTATTCAGTAGTAATACTCCAAGAGCTTCAAAATTAAACCTTACAAAACCTTTCGAACCTTACAAAATCTGGATCAAGTTCTGATGGCATGTCAGATGGACCTGAAGCAATTTCTACTCGAGATGATCCAAATGAAAAATTACAAAGTTTCCATTCGGAAGCAAAAATATCATGAATGCGAACATTTTTATGAAACTTCTCATTGCAATATTTTTATACTGACTCACCAACGAAAGCAAAGATCAAAATTACCAACTTCCAAAATATTTCCATTTTCATTCAATTTTTCCCGACTTGTGATCTACTCCAGTGAAGGCGCCAAACAGTACTGAGAATTCAGCGATTTCTGATTGCCTTTAAATAATCCCTACTTGATCAAACATCATATACATGGGTCGATCCGATTTTATCGTTCTAAAATTCTCCATATTTCGAACTCATTGTTCCCATTACCATAATGAGCAGAAATACATGTAAATTCAACAAATGTATGGCGCAATACGAATAATCATAAGCACTTGTGTCCCTAGAAAATTAACACGAAGCTCATTATTGATACAGCTGGAAATTTTCACCTCGCTGGTTCTAACTCCGCCTGATACCTGTAATTGCGATAACTCTCGCTCATGAATTTATTATTATGATTCCTACAGGAAGAAAAGCGAATTGTAATATTCGATAAATAGAAGGGAATTTCAACAAAATGTAATTTGTGACATTTCCCTATTACTAGACAGTTATTGATTCATGATGAGGGAGTAGTGGAGGGAATTTTCATGTGATAGACCAGAAGGTCATACGTATAATATTTGAAATAAATCACGGGAATATTGCATTTGATTTTAGAACTTACTGGAGTTGTCAGTTCCAGAAATCTGATTTAAACAATTAGAAAAATTTTCTAGAAAAATTATTGTCCAGTACCAAAAAAATTATTGGGTTTATCATAATTCTTTTGGTGCCGCGCGCGAATTTTTCAGGCGTTACACAATCAATTTTCCATGTCTGCGGATTGTAACTCGTTTATGATACTTAGCAGAACGTAATTTGTACTTTTTTTTCTGGAAATTTTTATGGAATTTTTTTCTCCGTGTACCCAACAGTTCTTGATTCCAGTACCATCCCCATTTCCACTGAATAAACCTTGAATTTGAATCGTCATATCACCTCAATTTATTTTAGCAACACCAAGAAATCCAAATGCCTAAAAATTAATTTTTTAAGAGAGTTTCAGAGTCGAATTGCTCAACACCAGCTTCAGGGAAAAACCTAAATTTTTTGTCCCAAAGTTTTTTTCTTTCGAGTCAACTTCAAGTGTCAAGTGGTAGCTCTTGTATAGTTGCGAGATCTTTCATCCCCAATGTTCGTTTATTTACAAGTGAAAACTGAAAGGAACTGTATTACGATGAAGGAATTATTTGCATCGTCGTCTCATCTCGTTTATTCGATTGCACAAAAAAGAATATCAAATTGTCGGTAAGGAATAGCTTCACCCGAGAGAGATTCTCATTTTGAAGCTTGAGCTCGCTGGAGTAACAGGTAGTTGATTTCTATCCGTTGTATCTGCGGGAAGGCAGCACCACTCGATTTCCATCTATGTCATCTCATCTTTTCCTGGAGCAATCGCCTGAGGGTATACCGTACTCCCCCAACATTTTTACGCCCACTTTAGTTGATACGTCGAGAATTTTTAGGCAAACATGTCACAGAAAATGGAAGGATTTTAGTCGTGAAAAGAATACAGTAGACTCTCGTAATGATCGCTCCCATTATATTCCATTTCCCCTCAATCGCTTTATCGCCGGCGCGAAGGCTTCCCCCACTCCCTTTGACTCCCGAATGCAAACACATCGATGTTTTCTCACATGCGCTATTGTTTCGTCTTTTTAGGAAATCGTAAATGTAAAGGGCTCTGATATTAAATTTTCGAAAAACTAGGCGCATGGTGGGGATAGGAAAATATAGTGGTATTTGTCCTATAGCCCTACGTGTGCGGTTATAACGGGAGTCTAATGTATTGGCGTTTGATATGCTGTCCAAATAATTTGAGCACGGAGGACTATTTCGATGACTGAATCTCGAATCAAACACAGAAAAACCTAAATGTAAATTACGTTTTGCTAAGCGTAATTTATGGTTTGCTGAACATAATTTACGCTCAATGCCACTATGGGTAGGCGGAAAATAATAAAATGATAAAAAACAATGAAAATGATAAAATGTCCCATGGTTTTTTTTTCCGGAATTTGCTAATATGGTGCCTGCCTGAGTGGAAATTCAAATTAGGATAGAATAAGAGATTGACCAGTGAAAACTGATTTTGATCAATTTTTGATCAGAAATGTAACGCTTGTTTGGGTCGATGCCTGGTCAAAATTCGGATCCGATACGGATCAAGACGAGATTTGACTGGTCAGAATAGGATCACAATTCACTCCGCCACGATGGATACAGATACTCCATTCAGAACTTCATCAGATCCTGATCCGAAAGTCTAATCAATAAATTCTGACTAGTATTGAACTTAAAACTAATGTAGATCCAAGCTAACTGAGTGAAATTTCCACTCGGGTCGTGGCTGATTTTCCCTTCATGAAAATCGAAATTTAGGCTTCAAAAAGAAGTCTTACGGTCAAAATAAAAAAGTAAATTACAACCAAAGCGTGTTTTACATTTCACTGAGGGCATTTCACGACGAAAAAATTTAATAGAAAAACCTATCGTATTCGTTAGAAAATTCTATTGAATTTCTATTGAACTGTTCTATTAGTTTATGGCCGATTCTATTGAAATGTTTAATAGAAAAATAGAATGAAAAAAACTTAGAAAATATGAGTCGAGTAAATTCTATAGAAAATATATGAAAAGAATAAGTTATATAGAAAAATCGAATTATGTTGACCTTTTCTATTGAATGTTTTCTATTGAACATGTCAATAAAATTCGATAGGTTTTTCTATTAGATTTTTTCGTGCGTGTTCACTCCGAAGAAATCGTACATCATGATCTTAAAGTAGCTCTATCCTTGCGCTAAATTCAAAGATTATTGAAAACTGCAAAAAATTTCCAGAAAAATTGATTAAAAGTCCAATTTTTTTCTCAATTTAATTATCGTTTCGGTTTTTCAAAGAAAACGTGTTTAAAAATCAGGATTTAATTCAATGTCTTACGTAAAAATCAATATTTCTATTGTAATCAAAGATTAACATCTGAATTTATTTTCATTAGATTCGAAAAAATCAAAAAAAAATTTGACACTTCGTAAAAAATGAACCACCGTTTTGCAAACAAGTTCTGCTATTTATTTATAAGAAGGAAATGTTGGAAAAAATATCCATATTTTGCGAAATATAATTTAGATAATACTGACTGGGCATAAATTTTTTGAAAATTTTTCAATGCAATTTAGTTGGAAAATTCAAAAACCGATAATATCTAAAAGTGTAGCGATGCCCGGCCAAAGGGTAGAGTTACTTTAAGGATATCCAAGTACGGAGTAAGGATATCCACATGAGAGCTTTTATTTGAGTTCCATTTGACCCCAAGTTTCCGGACATTTTACAATAATTTTAATATTTAAACTTTGCAGATCTGAATTTGAATCTCGATATGGAACTTTTGGAAAACAATTTAAAAATCTCAGAAAAAATTAGAAAGTTTATTTTTGGAGGAAGATTGCTGAAAAAGTTGAGAAATTGCAATTTTTCAAAATTACGAGCATTTCCTATAAATAATTTGTAAACAACTATTTTCCACGATAACAATCAGTTGTTCGAGATCGTAAAAAATTTCACCAGAAATCTATTTTATGCCTAAAAAAGTGAGGTTTCCGAAAGTTTGAGCAATTTCAATTATTTATTTACAAACAACAAATGTTT